TGATAAATGTTTTATGGGGGTATTTTATTTCAATTTTTTTCTGATAATAAGCGAGTGTGCACATTCGATAATAGAAGTGTTCACTTGTATGTATGCATGTTTTTCCCTGATTTGGAGTCCTCTTTTGGACAATATTCACATATTAGTCCCATTTTGGACTATTCTATCTTTTTTGTTTGAGTGTCCACCATCAGTATAGATCCAATTTAGGATCAATTCACTTATATACCATACTTGGTGAAAGTATTGGTATACACACTTCAATTATTACCATCACTTTGGTGGAATATAATTCAGTTTGTTCACAAAGGATCCCCAGAGGATCAGGTCACGGTTAGACACCTATAGTTCATAGATCCCATGTGGATCAGGTCATGTTTATGATATTTGCACTTTGTGTCACTTTATATTTATCACATTTATTTATATATGTATTTATATGAGTTTATGGTATGTGATATATTTATTGATTTATTTGTCATTTGAGTAGCACTACATCATTTTTTCTCATCTTGTTCATTTGATCATTGGGTATATGATTAGATGTTAGCAGCTTCTCTCTGTTATTTATATTATTACTTTTTCAGTTAAGAGCGCAGGAGGTTTACACCATTGATAATACCCACGTGGTCACACCCTGTTTATGAATGCCAGCATCCCTATATCTTTAAGTGTGCAATTCCATATTTGGGTGAGACTTTTCAGGTATTCTACTTATACAGGTGAAACTCGAAAAAAATTAGAATATCGTGCAAAAGTTCATTTATTTCAGTAATGCAACTTAAAAGGTGAAACTAATATATGAGATAGACTCATTACATACAAAGCAAGATAGTTCAAGCCGTGATTTGTCATAATTGTGATGATTATGGCTTACAGCTCATGAAAACCCCAAATCCACAATCTCAGAAAATTAGAATATTACATTCAATCAATAAAACAAGGATTGTACATAGAACAATATCGGACCTCTGAAAACTATAAGCATGCATATGTACTCAGTACTTGGTTTGGGCCCCTTTTGCAGCAATTACTGCCTCAATGTGGCGTTGCATGGAAGCTATCAGTCTGTGGCACTGCTGAGGTGTTATGGAAGACCAGGATGCTTCAATAGCAGCCTTCAGCTCTTCTGCATTGTTCAGTCTCATGTCTCTCATCTTTCTCTTGGCAATGCCCCATAGATTCTCTATGGGGTTCAGTTCAGGCGAGTTTGCTGGCCAATCAAGCACAGTAATCCCACGATCATTGAACCAGGTTTTGGTGCTTTTTGCAGTGTGGGCAGGTGCCAAGTCCTGCTGGAAAATGAAGTCAGAATCCCCATAAAGCTCGTTTTGCGGAAGGAAGCATGAAGTGCTCCAAAATCTCCTGGTAGACGGCTGCGTTGACCCTGGACTTAATGAAGCACAGTGGACTAACACCAGCAGATGACATGGCTCCCCAAATCAACACAGACTATGGAAACTTCACACTAGACTTCAAGCATCTTGCAGTGTGTGCCTCTCCATTCTTCCTCCATACTCTGGGTCCTTGGTTTCCAAATGAGATGCAAAAGTTGCTCTCATCAGAAAAGATGACTTTGGACCACTGAGCAACAGACCAGGTCTGTTTTTCTTTAGCCCAGGTAAGACGCTTCTGACGTTGTTTGTTGTTCAGGAGCGGCTTGACAAGAGGAATACGACATTTGAAGCCCATGTCCAGGATCCATCTGTGTGTGGTTGCTCTTGATGCACTGACTCCAGCCTCAGTCCACTCCTTGTGAAGTCCCCAACACTTTTGAATGGCCTTTTCCTGACAATCCTCTCCAGGCTGTGGTCATCCCTGCTGCTTGTGCACCTTTTTCTTCCACACTTTTCCCTTCCACATAACTTTCTATTAATGTGCTTTGATACAGCACTTTGGGAACATCCAACTTCTTTTGCAATTACCTTTTGAGGCTTTCCCTCTTTATGGAGGGTGTCAATGATGGTTTTTTGCACAACTGTCAGGTCAGCAGTCTTTCCCATGATTGTGATTCCTACTGAACCAGACTGAGAGACCATTTAAAGGCTCAGGAACCCTTTGCAGGTGTTATGGCTTAATTAGCTGATTAGAGTGGGACACTTTGAGCCTAGAATATTGCACCTTTTCACAATATTGTAATTTCTGAGATTGTGGATTTTGGGGTTTTCATGAGCTGTAAGCCATAATCATCATAATTTTGACACATCACAGCTTGAACTATCTTGCTTTGCTTGTAATGAGTCTATCTCATAAATTAGTTTCGCCTTTTAAGTTGCATTACTGAAACAAATGAACTTTTGCACGATATTCTAATTTTTCGAGTTTCACCTGTACAGTCATGGCCAAAAATATTGGCATCCGTGCATTTCTGTCAGATAACGCACCACTTAGCCCAGAAAATGTTGCACTTACAAATGTTTAGGCATTCTCATGTTTATTTATTTTGTTTGTACTGGTATAACACACAAAAGTGGAGAAACACAAAGCCAAATATGAAATATTCCATGCAAAACCCAAAAAAATGGATTGGAATAAATTGTTAGCACCTTCTCAAAATTTTAAGAAATAATTGCATTCCAAGTTTGTGATGCTCCGCTAATTTGTAATTAAACTCACCTGTATCACTTAATAGGTGCTGACAATATAGAAATCACACCGCCAACCAGTTAAAATGGTGAAAATTTTACTCACCTTTTCTGTTGTGTGTGTGTCTGTGTGGTGCATGGTGAAAGAGAGCAGTAAAGAATTGTCTGAGGATTTGAGAACAAAAATTGTGGAAAAGCATGGACAATCTCAAAGTCCATTTCCAGAGATCCTAATGTTCGTGTGTCCACTGTGCACAACATTGTCAAGAAGGTTACAGCCCAGGGCACTGTAGCCAATCTCCCTGGACATGGACTAAAGAGAAAAACTTGATCTAAGATTACAATGAAGGATTGTTTGGTGACTAAAGAACCTTGATCAACATCCAGAAAAATTTAAGCTGATCTTCAGGCACAGGGTACAACTGTGTCGGCTCGCACTATACTTCCACATCTGAATGAAAACAGATGCTATGGTAGGAGACGCAGGAGGGCCCCACTGCTGACACAGAAACATAAAAAAGCCAGATTGTAGTTTGCCAAAACTTACCTGAGGAAGCAAAAATCCTTTTGGGAGATTGTGCTGTAGACAGACGAAACAAATATTACAGCTTTTTGGTGAAGCCCATCATTCTACTGTTTTCAGAAAAAGCAATGATGCCTTTAAAGAAAAGAATACAGTCCCTACAGTCAAACATGGTGGAGGTTCACTGATGTTTCAGGGTTGCTTTGCTGCTTCAGGCACTGGGTGTCTTAACCATGTGCATGGCATTATGAAATCTGAAGACTACCAAAACATTCTGGGGTGCAATATAGGACCCAGTGTCAGAAAGTTGGGTTTCCTTTCAGAGGTCATGGGTCTTACAGCAGGACAATGAGCCAAAGTATGTGTCAAAAAGCACCCAGAAATGGTTTCAGAGAAAGTGGTGGATAGTACTGAACTGGCCAGCAATGAGTCCAGATCTGAATCCCATAGAGCACCTGTGGAGAGATCTCAAAACGGCAGATGTGAAAAGGAACTCTTCCAATCTGAGAGACCTGGAGCAGTTGGTGAAAAAAGAGTGGTCCAGAATTCCAGTAGAGAGGTTAAAAAGCTAATTGATAGTTACAGGAAGCAATTGATTTCCATTAATTTTTCCAAGGGGTGTTCTACCAAATATTAAATTGAGAGTGCCAATAATTTTGTCCAGTCTATTTTTGGTGTTTTGCGTGGAATATGTCAGATTTGTCTTTTTTGTTTCTCCACTTTTTTTGTGACATTGGAATGTCACAAACAATACAAACAAAAGAAATAAACATGAGAATGCATAAACATTTGTAATTACAACAGTTTTCTGGGTGCAGTGGTGAATTATCTGACAGAAATGCAGGGGAGCCAATATTTTGGCCATGACTGTACATGTATAGTATTCTATAAAATGTATCTTAGTACACATACAAAAATACACAATGAAAATCAAGGCAATACATAAGGCCACAATAGTGATCAGGATATATTGTGTATATTTCTCTTCACTTCCAGCACGTTTCAAACAAATTTAGTGTCTTCCTCAGGGAAATGAGAATCTGCAAGTGAACCAAAAAAAATCACAATACATATGCAGCCAAGATCACCCAAAGAGGGTACCTCCCTCAGCAGGATACAAGGAGCCAACTCTTCTATATAAACATTACTTGGGATAATGCATAATATCCTAAAAAAATGGTTGTCATCGCCCAGCTTCATACAGTAGCCAGATGACCAAAGGCTTGGTGGGTGACTGGTGCAGTCACCAAGAGGTATTTACCTGGAGCACCTTCCATCCTGAACTTCAGGCGTCAACCATCCACCGGGCCTCTGGCAACTATGGTCAAATGAAAAATGTGGTGTAGAATTCACTAAATACAGACCGGTAATGCATCCTTTCCAGTTAGGCAAAGGATAAGCTAATAAGCATGGTATGCTAACCACTTAACCACCACCTAAACAATGTCAATGCCTAACCCCCTCAATGACGTCATGATGACTAACAGCAGCATTCTTGCTAGAGCAAGCAAGGCTCAAGCTGCACAATGGAACGGTGCTTACTTTACTTAGAGATAACATACTAAGGAGAGTGCTGACACGCATCCTTCTTGAGGTGAAAAGTAGACATGTACAGTCGGTTGTGCTTTCAATGTTGCTTGCTTGCTTTTGCAGTTGAAAACATTATGTACACATCAAGTATTTGAGCTGCAAAAGGTTTGTTATACTTTCTAACCAGCCATGTGACTTCGAAAAACATCTAAGTGTGAATGGAGCCTGATCCTTCCTATCAAAGAGCTTACATTTTTATGTTGTCTTTATGCCTTCCACCTGGTCAGACAGTTAACTTTACAGATTTTTAAAAATGCTGAGTAACATACACTTGAGCCTGTTGTTTCTCTCTTGCGCTATAGCTGCTGCAGTGTCTCGAAAAAAGAAGCGACGGATGGGAACATACAGCCTGGTGCCCAAGAAAAAGGCCAAAATGCTGAAGCAACGAACAGTTCTGGAGATGTTTAGGAGCATGACCAATGCCTCCTCCAGTCCCAAGGTAAGGAATTCTCTACCCTTGTTAATGCTAGCTACGTTCCCACTTCTCCAAAACTTTATTCAAAATCATTAAATCCTTTCAGAATAAATATTGTTAGTAAACTAGGCAATTAAGTAGTAAATAAAGTTTTATTCTTTTATTAATGAAAAAACCTGCAAGCCTGGCCTGTGTTGGGAACATATGTAGCAGGGGCAGGAAGGCATAGACAAGGATAACCGAGGTTTTAAACCTTCCCCATTTTAGTAAAAAAAAGTGTTTAGCAACATCAAATAAGGGTTCAAATGATTTGTTCATGGTCTTCTTATATGTGTGTTAGAGGACCTTCCACCTAGAATTAAAAAAATCAAACACAGCAAAAAAAAAAATTAACATGACAAAAAAAGCATTTTTTTTATTGTACCTGTATCCAGGAAACTGTCAAAAAAAGACAGGAAACCCCCTCCTAGGCATAAATCCCCCTTTAGGAAAGTCTTCAGTTTTTTTGTTGTGTTTGCACGAAAGAATAGCTAGCTTCTCAACAGTTCCATCTGGGTTTGAAAGACCGTGTTTTCCAGATCAATCACCTACAGCTCTTCTATGCTCAGAGGAGTGTTACCTGGACCCAGCACTGGAGACACCAGGACGGCCTATAAGGTTGCTGGTTGCCATTGAACTCTACGAAATGGGACCCTGTACAGTGATATAGTGTCTTGTGGACCAGTAGGATGCTATACAGGTCTAGGGCAGCGATCCCCCTCCCCAACTGTGCAGTTGAGTCCCTGAAGGCCTTTGTGCCATTTCCCTCTATGAAGAGTGGACCCCTCAGGGGATCCTGCAGCAGGAATGGTGAGTGCCTTGGGGATGGTCCCTGCTGCTAACCCCCTGGTAACTTCCCACTGGCTGGGCCCAGCAGAGTTTTTATTTTGGCCTTTAACGTCCCCATTTTAGTAAGCAAAAAAGAGTGTTTAGCACCAGCAAATAAGAGTTGAAATGATTGTTCATAGTCTTCTTATATGTGTGTTAGAGAACCTTCCACCTAGATTAAAAAAAATCCATCGTCTACTGCTCTTCTATGCTCAGAGGAATGTTACCTGGACCCAGCACTGGACACATGAGGAAGGTCTATAAGGTTGCTGGTTGCCACTGGACTCTGAGGAATGGGGCCCTGCACAATGATATGTTTTGTTGACCAGTAGGGTGCTATGCAGGTTCAGGGCAGTGATCCCCTCCCCACTTGGGGAGTCAAGTCACTGAAGGCCTTTGTACCATTGCCCGCTGTAAACAGTGGACGCCACTAGGGGGTCCTGCAGCAGGAATGGTGAGTGCCCTGGGGATAGTTCCTGCTGGTAATCCCCTGGTGAACTCCCCACTGGCTGGGAACAGCAGGAAATTTTTATTGTTGCCTAAAACTTTTTGCTTTTTTTTTTTTTTAATTTGTTGGTGTTTTTTCACTGTAAATGGCCTTTCAGGCTGCCTTGAGCACTACATAGCAATAGCAGAGATTAAGGGTAGTCTGGGAGGCTCAGGGCACCAAATGCAGGAAGCAAAGAGTCTTTTCTGCTCTCTGCATTCACGCTAGACTGCTGAGCTGTGCATGTGTGGTACAGCTGGGAACATCACGAGAGGGTGGATCTTTTTTGGCAGTGGCCATCTTTGGGTTCACATGTGAGAAGGCAGAGTGGGCTAGCTGCAGGACTTCAGGTCACAACAGAGCAGTGCTGAAGGATACTACAGGTTGTAGCAGCATGAGAGCCTTCTGTGAGACTACAGGTTGCAGCAAAGTGACTCTTGTATGAATCTATAGGTTGCAGCAAGTATAAAAGGGGCCACTCAGTGCTTCTTTGTGAGGGCGATGGGACACTGGCAGGATTAGGGGGAGTCTAATCTCTTGGGGTAACAAGCTTAGTAGAATGATGCCCTCTCGGCTGTTTTCAGCAAGGTTACACTGATCAGCAGGCCGTGTCTCCTCAGTAGCAGAGAGTAGGAGATGTAGAGGTTCCAAATATCTTCTTCAGAGGATCCTGGTACAGCCCCCCCCCCATGCAATGCATACCCTGGGGGTCAGAGTGTTCCCTGTGGATCTGACTCCCTGCATCTTTCTGGTATCTTTGCTTCTTCCTGGGCACCATCAGCCAATACTTTGTGTCAAGGGATGAGTTTTCATCTGCTACCACTGGTTTATAGCACCAGCTTTCTGGAACTCCTGCCGGCTTGGATCACCTTGGTCGCAATTGGAAGCGTTCTCCCTCTCCTTCCCTCTCCCTATTGATGGAAGAGGATCCAGTGGAGGATGAGGTTGAGGAGGGCAAGATTGGTCCAGCAGACAGATGCAGAAGAATCCGCATTTGAGGAATCTACTCCTGAAAAACTCTAGGGTCATGATTTATCTCCAACCCAAGCGGCCCTTGTGAACTTTCTCTCACAAGTTGTTCAGACTAATTTGGAGTTACTACTTAGCGATTCCTCTACCCCACAGGTTTCAGAATTTGGATTGTGGCATCTGCTACAACATCAAAAATCCTTTCCTGTCCAACCTCGTTTAAAGGGTGCTTTGTACACAGACTGGGCTTACCCTGACAAGGTGTTCGTTCCACCAAAGTTTTTCTCAGCTATATCCCATGGAGAGTGAGTTCACTAACTAATGGGGTATGCCTTTGGTGATGTCAGAAAGAAACTCAATAACACGTTAATACCAAAGAGAATATGAGATGTATGCAATGAGCAAGGTTTGAGCTACGCAGTAGGACCATTTGAGTATCCTGCAGTCAAAGCATAATGATGTACTAAAAACATGTAAAAAAAAAAACCATCACTATATGAGACCAATAAAAGATGAGACATGCATAATACAATATTTGTTGAGAGAAAAAGAGGAGGAGGGGGAACTATGGGGGGGGGCACTGCCTGAAGAACATAGAACAGTTTAGGCAATATAGCCACCTTTACTATATTGATTTTGCCTAGCCAAGAAAAAAATGGATCTGTCATAAGTTTTGATTAGTTGTAAACATTTAGAAATATTGAGGATAAATTTAATTCCAATGATTTGGAGAGATCTCAGAGGATATACATTCCCATGTATTTGATGGGTACAGGTTGCCATTTAAAAGGAAAAGTTCCTTGGAGATGTTTGAGTCTGAGCAGATAGTGAAATATTGTGAGCTTCAGTCTTGTCATAACTGACTTTAAAATTACTCAGTGCTCCAAATCGGTCAAATTCCTTCTTTAAGTTAGAAATTGTGACTATACGGTTAGTAATATATAACCGTTCGTCTGCGCAAACCGACATTTTATATTCTTTGGTTTTGACCTGACTACATCGGATTTAGGGGCTGTAGCCAAGTGTTCCATTACCAACACAGAGAAGCGGGACGAAGGGTCATCTTTGTTGGGTATCATTCCTAATGCAATAAGGCCACAGAATATACAGTATTGTTCATGCTTTAGCACTTGACCTATGGTATTAGGCCATAATCCTTTGCAGAAGATGGGGACCGAAATTGTTTTAAGGTCTCTTCTACCATCCCACTCTGTTTAATGCCTTTATGGCATCAATAAAAAGAAGACCGGATGGGATGGAGCGTTTCTGTGTGTATTCCAGTAGGGTGGGGATTTTTAACATCTTGTCTCGAGCTTCTAGGTCTAATGCAAAATGTGCTTGATCTAAATTAATTTTGGCAGTAAGAATATTGGAGTATAGATGAAAATCTACGTTCATGAGAGAGATTGGGTGATAATTACCGCAAATTGTGTGGTCTTTGTTGAGTTTTGGGATGATGGCAATATGTGCTTGTTGCTATGTTGTCCTCCCCTTTACTGGTAAAATCCCTGTCTTGGGGTACATCACAGGACGCAGGGATTCCACCCTCTGTCTTTTGGTCTATGGCTTGCTACAAAAACTGAAGCCTTGCCTAACGTGTAGGAGTTATACCTAGGAGGGGATTTCCTTTCCGATCTCGTGAAGGTTGCAGTATAACCCTATCATAATGGAGTTGAAGATATCCTGTGTCCTGGGATGTACTCCAAGAAAGAGATTTTACAGGTAAATAAAAAATCCCATTATTGTCCTTTGGAGTCCAGCAATGTGTTCCTTGCTGCCATAGTTTTGCCAGTGTTTTTTAGATTCCGCGCTACCATCTGGGATTTGTGAAATGGCTACTACTTCTGGTTTTCCAAGCCAGACCTTTGGTGACACTCTGCTAGAATCTTGCTCATGCACAGAGCAAGATCTCGCTGCCTGTCATATTACTTACTGGTTGCTGGGGTGTCACCTATGCAGGCTTAAAATCTTGCAAAATTTCAGCACTGTCAGCCCTGCAGCCTTTTGGGATGCATGATGTGTGGATTAGGGTAAAGAGGCTACGTTCTATATGTGAGATATTAGCCAGGGAAATTGTAATAATTATAAAAACCGTTATTTAAAAAACAACATTTTAAAAAGTAAGCAATGTAAGAAGGAGGGGCCAGAGACTAACTTAGAAATTTAGTGACAGGTCTACTTAAGGACTTCCCAGTTGGAGATTTTCCTATTCTTCTGCCCTATTCAAAGTATGCAGTATGCTCATTTTAAATTTGTGTATCGTCCTATAGAGTGACAAGGATTCGGAGGTTCCACATCTAAATGGTGAGAACCTGGAGATGGACTCTGATGATGAGGACTCCGAGGACCCTGAAGAGGAGGATTACCACAGTGGCGAACCAAGCATCTCTGAGCACCAGGATGATCTTCCAGCAGCATCAGAAGGCACACCAGAGTCAGACAACCTAAAGAAGGTAAAGCTCTGATAAATAAGGGAAGTTTTAGTTTTGCTCAAAAAAAGTTATTAGGCCACAACCGATTTGTCTTCAAACCTTTCTAGGTTGTTTTAATAAAATTTGATAGGACACTGCCACTAGTTTACTGTGGATTAGGCTTTGAATAGTTCTCATTTTTGAACAAAGCATTTCTGTAATATATAGAAGTACGGTAATGGTGACATCTGCAGGTAAGCCAATGTACAACAATCCGTTTACTACAAAAAGAACAAACTAAAAAGCAGTAATTAATGTTATAACCATTGCCCAGAATCCCTCTTCACTAAGCCTTGTTTTGCAATATAAGTCTAATTACAACTGCTCCTAAAACTTAGAAAAAATGGATTTCTTCTTATAATACCCTCTGAGGTGTCTTTTCAACTCTAATCTATAAATATACTGACCCGACTAAATGTGTGGAAAGGACTAAATTTAGAGCAGCTTGTTCAGGGCAGGACTGGACACTGCACTGCAGACTCAGCTGAGCGATAGCCTGAGACATATAGGGGACTTTTGAAGGCGGTGGAGGAGTTGGCTCTGTTAGGCATATGCCGCCTCTCATCTGGGACACTGCCTGGTGAGTGGGGGAGGCAGATGGAGGAGAAGGCTCCTAGGGGTGTATCATTTTCTTCTCCAATCTTCCTCCCTCTTAGTATACACTATGTTGCCAAAGTATTGGAACGCCTACCTTTACATGCACATGAACTTTAATGGAATCCCAGTCTTAGTCCATAGGGTTCATTATTGAGTTGGTCCACTCTTTGCAGCTATAACAGCTTCAACTCTTCTGGGAAGGCTATCCACAAGGTTTAGGAGTGTGTCTATGGGAATGTTTGACCATTCTTCCAGAAGCACATTTGTGAGGTCAGGTACTGATGACGGAAGAGAAGGCCTGGCTCTCAGTCTCCGCTCTAATTCATCCCAAAGGTGTTCTATTGGGTTGAGGTCAGGCCAGTCAAGTTCCTCCACCCCAAACTCGCTCATCCATGTCTTTGTGGACCTTGCTTTGTGCACTGGTGCGAGTCATGTTAAAACATGAAATTAACAACAGGTTAACTAGATGGGCAACAATGAGATGACCCCCAATACAGGAATGATTTTACAGGTGGAGGCCACTGACATTTTTTCCCTACTCATCTTTCTGGCTTTTTTTTTTTTCACTAGTTTTGCATTTGGTTAGGGTCAGTGTCACTACTGGTAGCATGAGGTGATAGCATGAGGTGATACCTTGACCCTACAGAGGTTGCACAGGCAGTCCAACTTCTCCAGGATGGCACATCAATATGTGCTATTGCCAGAATGTTTGTTGTGTCTCCCAGCACAGTCTCAAGAGCATGGAGGAGATTACAGGAAACAGGCAGTTACTCTAGGAGAGCTAATAATAAATTGAAACCTTGCGCCAAAGAAAAAAAATCAGTCAAAGTAAATGCTGCAGTTCAAAAAAATTACTAAACATCAAACAAAACTCATAAAGTGACACAGCGCAAATAATAAAAAAATATTATTTCCAAATTAATATAAGTCCAAAAACAAAGTCCCAAATTAAAGTCCAGTGTCCCAAAAATTTGTGACAAAATAAAAATATATCACAAACTTCATACATTTTCCAGCGTTCATACATTGCTCCACACTCGCCAAATACCGTGGATTCTCAAGCTGATATGGCTTTGCGAAGCAAAAGCAGGCTTAGAGGTGGAGTGTAGTTTCCTCAGATGTTATTATTCCCTTTAACAATTTCTTACTGAATCTCCATCCATAATGATTCCACATAGGGCAATATAAAATATAATATATAAAAGAAAATGCCAATAGTATAAAATACTGTGAGGGTCAAAGAAAATTTTTTAAAAAGACTTTTATTACACTCACATTAGGTGGCTTTAAAACCAACTTCCATGGATTCACATGCCTCCCAAATGACCGATAATAATCCCTCCTTAACTTCCTCCAAGCTCTCACACCTGGATGGATGGATGGATGTGGGTGATTCGAATAATTTATGACCAGCTTGTATGGACAAAAAACTCCCAAGCTGCTGCTAATAATCCCTCCTTGATTTCACCCGAACTCTCACTCATGGATGGATGGATGAAAATGCAAAAGAAAGGATACCAAATAGCATAACACTGCATAAAAAACTTTTAATAATAAAGTGATGCTTCAAATGCACTCACATTTTAAAACTGAGTAACAAGCCCTTTTAATAAGATCAGGACTCCTTTAAACAGGCTCCAACAGCCCTCCTGACATTTCCAGCTAAGCAGCCATTTTCCAGTTCTGCGGCCATCTTTAATGTGGGAAAAACAATCTGATTTCTCCACTACTGCAAGTTCTTTACTGCCAATGCTGGTCAATTGTGGCTGCTTAGCTGGAAATGTAAGGAGGGCTGTTGGAGCCTGTTTAAAGGATTATTTTCAGTCATTTGGGAGGCATGTGAATCCATGGAAGTTGGTTTCAAAGCTACCTAATACGAGTGTAATGACGGCCTTTTTAGAACATTTTCTTTGACCCTCATACAGTATTATACTATTGGAATTTTCATTTATATTTTATATTGCCCTATGTGGAATTATTTTGGAAGGAGATTCAGTAAGAAATCGTTAAAGGGAATAATCACAGCTGAGGAAACTACACTCCAGCTCTAAGCCTGCTTTTGCTTCTCTAGGAGAGCTGGACAGGGCCATAGAAGGTCCTTAACCCATCAGCAGGACTGGTATCTGCTCCTTTGTGCAAGGAGGAACAGGATGAGCACACTGCCAGAGCCCTACAAAATGACTTCCAGCAGGCCATTGGTGTGAATGTCTCTGATCAAAGAAACAGAAACTGACATCATGAGGGTGACCTGAGGGCCCGACGTCTTCTAGTGAGCCCTTTTCTCACTGCCCAGCACCATAGAGCTCAATTGGCATTTGCCATTGAACACCAGATTTGGCAGGTCCACCACTGGCGCCCTGTGCTTTTCACAGATGAGAGCAGGTTCACCCTGAGCACATGTGTTACACGTGAAAGGGTCTGGAGAAGCTGTGAAGAACGTTATGCTACCTGTACCATCATTTAGCATGACCGTTTTGGTGGTGGGTAAGTGATAGTCTGGGGAGGCATATCCATGGAAGGACGCACAGACCTCTACAGGCTAGACAATGGAACCCTGACTGCCATTAGATATTAGGATGAAATCCTTGGACCCATTGTCAGACCCTACGCTGGTGCAGTGGGTCCTGGGTTCCTCCTGGTGCACAACAAAGCCCGGCCTCATGTGGCAAGAGTATGCAGGCAGTTCCTGGAGGATGAAGGAATTGATACTATTGAATGGGCCCCACGCTCGCCTGACCTAAATTCAATAGATCAACTCTGGGATATCATGTTTTGATCCATCCAACACCGCCAGGTTGCACCTCAGACTGTCCAGGAGCTCAGTGATGCCCTAGTCCAAATCTGGGAGGGAACACCTCAGGACACCATCATTAGGAGCATGCCCCGATGTAGTCAGACATGCATAAAAGCACATGGGGGACTTACAAAATACTGAGTAACCATTTTGAGTTGCTGCAATGAAATTTCAGCAAAATGGACTAGCCTGCTGCATAATTTTTTCACTTTGATTTTCAGGGTGTCTTTGAATTCAGTCCTCTGTAGGTTGATAATTTCTCATTTCCATCAAATGATGGGGCATCCTTAAATTTTTTTTTGTGTATGTATAAATATTTAATTTTGCAACTGTTTCTGTATGATGCAGGTGGATGATTTGGAATCGGATGGTGATGAAGAAGCAGAATCTATGGAGTCACAAGAAGAGGAGGAAGAGGATGGGAATGAATCTGATTTAGTAAGTGTTATAAAGGAAATTTAGCTTGAGACACTTCAGCTATAGCATGTTATGTTTTTTTTTTTTTAACTTTTGTTATTCCTTTTAACTCCAAAAACATGTTTCCCACCCCCTTCCCAGGAAATGTGATCATTTGCCCTGTGTTTGGTTTGCCTGTGTGAGCCCTTGTAGTTTCCTTTTCTTCTTGAACACTGAAAATACCCGGTTTATTTCCAAAAAAAATTAGCGTGACATTCTTTTTGTGGTTCATTATTTAGATTTGATCATCTGAGTGTACATTTGTGCTGGAATGGGCTTGCTGTGCCCCACTTGGTCATTAATATGAAGAGGAATTAGGCTGGGAATAATTGTATTATATGGCCACTCTAGATAATGGATTTAGGTTAGTTTCATAATGAATCTTGCTTATTAGACAAGCCAGCACTGATATATGTAAAGAAATCAAGCTATTCTCATTCTACTTTTTACTGTGCAGCCCTAGAAACTGCAATTATGATAGAAGCATTAAAGATGAATTCGAACGTATTCCAGGTTTTCAAACCAAACAAAAATTGACAGTGAATTATATGCAATGTCAGTTTATAGCAGGGGTCCTCAAACTTTTTAAACAGGGGGCCAGTTCACTGTCCCTCAGACCGTTGGAGGGCCGGACTATAGTTTTAAAAAAAAAAAAACTATGGTCATCTCCTGTACTGTGTCCGCATTTGTTCAGAGACTGCAGACATACAACGGCGGTGGGAATACTGGGCCGGCCGCTCTATAAGACGCACAGACATTTCCCCCCAAGTGTGTCTTATGGAGCAAAATAGTGTCCCATCATTGTTGTCAGTGGGAGGAATAGTGTCCCATCATTGGTGTCAGTGGGAGGAATAGTGCCCCACCATTGGTGTCAGTGGGAAGAATAGTGCCACATCATTGGTGTCAGTGGGAGGAATAGTGCCACATCATTGGTGTCAGTGGGAGGAATAGTGCCACATCATTGGTGTCAGTGGGAGGAATAGTGCCTCATCATTGGTATCAGTGGGAGGAACAGTGCTCCATCATTGGTGTCAGTGGGAAGAATCGTGCCCCATCATTGGTGTCATTGGGAGGAATAGTGTCCCATCATTGGTGTCAGTGTGAGGAATAGTGCCCCATCATTGGTGTCAGTGGGAGGAATGGTGTCCCATCATTGGTGTCAGTGGGAGGAATAGTATGTCATTGGTGCCAGTGGGGGGGGGGGGAATAGTGCCCCATCGTTGGTGTCAGTGGGGGGAGGAATAGTGCCCCATCATTGGTGTCAGTGAGAGTAATAGTGCCCTATCATTGGTGTCAGTGGGGGGGAGGAATAGTGCCCCATCGTTGGTGTCAGTGGGGGGAATAGTGCCCCATCATTGGTGTCAGTGGGAGGAATAATGCCCCATCATTATTATCAGTGACACCAATGAGGGGCACTATTCCTCCCACTGACAGCAATGACACTTAACTAGCTGACCCCTGTTCCAGCATGGTGCTGCTGCAGCCAGCATACCTGGTTGCAGCAGTACCATCTGCACGCCATACTTACCGGGCGGTCACCTGTCCTCCTTCCTTCACTTCGGCCTCTTCCTCCCTTGATTTTTTTGCGGGGCCGCTCAGCTCCGCCTCCTCGCCGGTGATTGGCCGCCTGTGTGCCTTTCCTGAGCTACAGTACTGGCGCCCAATCACCGGTGAGGAGGCGGAGCCGAACGGCAGCGTGGACATCGAGTGAGGGAGCAGCCGGAGTGAAGGAGCTGAGCATCCTGGACTGGATCGTCGTGGGACTGGAGCCAGGTAAGAGACAGCAGCCCCCTGCCCGTCCCTGTACTTAGTGTCCTCTGCCGGCGGGCCGCATGTGGCCCGCGGGCCGTAGTTTGAGGACCCCTGGTTTATAGTATGGGGGGGGGGGAGGTGGGAAGAATTGAAAATCATGAACTTCTGTGGACACGCATGGGAGTTGCGTAATTTCAGGCAGTAAATCAGGAGATCCGAAGACCTGATACCCGTGAGAAGCCAGTGAGAAAATATCGGCGACAGCAGGGCCTGTAAGTTTTATTTGTGGACTTTAGTTTTGCTTTAGTATAAAAAAAAACTTTTAGATTTATTAGTTGGTGTCAATGAATAAAATCCCTTGTTTCATATTATAGTATGTAATAGTATTTTTATACAGGCGGACATACTGTATTTGCTCATTACATAAGTGAGTTCTGCTTCCTTTTTAGTAGTTCTGCACAGTGATTGTCTTCTCTCATAGCAAGTTAGACCAGACCTTATTAAAAACAATGGACTCTATAAAACAAAAGCTTACCATATACTAACAGATTTTTTCATTCAGCTTGTGGGCTGAATTAAAAAAATCAGAGCTTCCCCCATCCATGCTAAACTGTGTGGATTAATGAATCTTGCTAAAGCTAGTATATTTTGACAGCTAGTAGCTGCCAAAATACAGTGGGCGGTGACTGCAGCTGATTGGCTACAGTCCCTGTTTTTAGCAGAGAATCAACTGCCCTGCGCCAGACGGTATATGGATTAAAGTATGTTGGGGTGTAGGGTGTCAGCAGGGCCATCTACTGCTCAAATTGAAACTGGCCAACACTCGATCAATGAATGGTCAGCTCAGTTGGACTGATCTCGGCCAGTTGTGTTTTCTGATATATAGATAATGGCTAATGGCAGAATTTCCAGACATATAGATATAATGAAAATATGCAACAGCAAGGAAAAATCTCCACATCAAAAATTTCTAGAATGACTCAGAATGGGTTCTTGTTGGTATTTCATTATAGCTTACCTCTAAATGAGGCTTGTACTGAGAGATACTGTATATGTATATTGTTTATATTGATTTCCTTCTGACTTTTTGGAGTCGCTGTCCTGAAGTAAGTATGCAAGCTAGGGCAAGTCAAATTTTCTGATCTGTGTACTTGTTCAGAACAAACAGAAAGTGATGAAACATTTAGATTAATATGAAAGTGATGGAGAGATCAGCACTGTCAGCCTCTAAATTCCTCTTAGCACAGGTTTCCTTTAAGATGGCCCTAGAATCTGACCCTACCTGTCTTGTTACAGAGCTCAGAGTCCAGTCTTCAGAAGAAAAGTCAATCAAAGCACAAAGGGAGTACTGAGAACCCATGGATGAAAGCTGCAAAGACAAGGAGAGGGAGAACCAAAGCAAAGGCCAATCCAGGTAAAGATGGTTGTGGTATTGAGTAAGGTCAGAATAATTTACAGATATTGTTTCCGAAAGGAGGAAAATCTGCACACAGGAAGGATTTGACCATCATGGCTGTTGGCAGTTTGAAAGGAGTTCAAAATCTAAAGAAAGGGGACATTATAGAACTACTTAGATAATTAAATTAATGGGACCATGAAAATAGGATGAGGTGCCAAAACAGGAGGGAAAAAAATATGAAGAGATGCCGCAATCAAATAAGTCCCATTTTTATTCTGTTGTGGCTGAATGTCCTGGACCTTACTATCTTGGTAAAGTTGAAATCCAGCGCACACACAGTGAAACAATTTCACTTTTATATCACAAAGATAAATTATTGATAAACAATCTCAGTGATTTGTCAGCATGTGGGCAAATCTCTACAATCTACGACAGGCTCTTGTGACAATTGCATTAAAATTTGATTCTTCCCTCATGACAACTTTGTATATGTGGTGTTTATGTAATGAAGGCGGAATGAAAAACATACAATGAAATTGCGTCCTGGCATCGAATAGTCATGACCTTAGAAGTGTTAATGTCAGCAGAGTATGTCATATAGAGGCCTCAGAGGATGATTGATGAATAAGTGTACTCAGTACACATCCTGAAGGCTTCTGTGATTCCAGCTGTTCTGATCCTGTTAGAATTGCAGTGCTAGCATATGTGGCATGTCTGTTACCTAACACAGCAGGACACAAATTCAGTTACTTTTTTTTCTTTTGCCTTATTCATTATAATTGTAATTGTTGTATTTACGTGACACCATCATATTCTATAACACATTTAAAAGCAGGATATACTTAACGGTGAACTGTAGGCAATTTTTGTCCTGTTGAGTTTATGGTCTAATGAGGAACAGGAGGTATGATGCTAAGTGCAGTAACCCATAGCGAGTGAAAAGTCATTAGAATCCACCTAAAGTCAATACAGAGTGGGTTCTTATTGGTCACTTTGCCCTTGGCACATTTAAAAAAAAACAAAGCCTTCTAGAGGTCCTAGGTAAAAAAAAAATAACGTCAGAGTTGAATAAAATGTCAAGGGATGTCAGCCATGAAGGAGTAAATGTGCACAGTAGAAGAGAATCTCATGTGTTGACCACAGAACTGAACTGATGTGGGTTAAAAGGATCTGCAGGCTTAAATAATGTTCACTCATTGCCCCTGTTTTCAGGAGACCGCTCCATGACCCTGGCTAGTGATACCTGGGAGATGCTGGAGGGATATTGATTAGCTGGAGTAGGTGTTTTTAGCTAATCTCTATTTCTCAGTTTCTCTTGAGGCAGCAAGTGCCTCTGCAGCAGTGCCTTCATTGTTTGTAGGTACAAACCTGCAAGTTCACCTGATGCAGACTTCCAATTGTTATTATTTGTTCTTTTATGGAACACAAGGTCAACAGAAATTCTGAAATGTATGGGTTTTCCCTTACCTTTGGTCTGTTTTCTGCACCTTAAGATTTCACCTTAGTGTTAGCACCTGTGCTTGCTCTGCTGTGTTCACTGAACATTACCATTGTGGAACACCTGGATTAGCCCCTGCTGAGAGAACAATCAGCTCAGACCTTGTCAGCCAATTTGTGTAGAACTGTTTAGATTCTTCAAAGGTTCAGTTGGATCATGAACCATCAGAAGTCAGTACTGAAAGTGACTTGCTGTTTCCACTACCTAGGTCTTCTCCTAGAATACTGCTCAGGTCAGTTTTTTTTCACAAGGTAAACTCTTGACTCTCTCCACTACCATTTTTTAGAGACTGCAATCTAGGAGCATTCCAACTCTCCACTTTTGCGTTCTTGGTTTGATAGTGCCCTTCTTCAAGGCAATCCTATATGCCCAGTTCCACTCCAGACATTTGTACACCAACATTCTGACTGTGTGCTACAGAGAGTGGGCATTTGCCCATTCACCTGACACCCTGACCAGGTGGCTCACTGTTCTAACCCTGCAGTTTGGGAAATACTTTGTTCCATTGGTCTGGAAGTTTTTCACAACAGATGCCCTCCTGACAGTCATGAGAGGAATCCTGGGTAACCTTTCAGTACAGAGGACCTGGTCACTGGAGTTAATTCATCCTAATAAATATCCTAGAGTTATAGGTGATTTCACTTATCTTTTCAGCGTTGGACCTCTCGGCTGCATGATCATCCAATCCAAATGCAGTCAGACGTTGCCACAACAGTGGCATTTAATCACCCATCACAGAGGTACCAGTGGTCTTTTTCTGTTATCAGAGATGCTGACCAGATTCTGGTTTGGGTGGGACTTCATGTTACATCCCTGTCTGCTGAGCATATTCCATGTGGACAATTGGCAGGCATACTTCCTGGCTTCCAAATTCAACAACACATAGTGCATTTGTCCCCAGATCCAGGCTTCCTCTAGATCTATGCTTTGCTGACTTCATGGGATCAGTGCAACCTGATCTACACCTTTCCTCCTCTGAAGTTCCTTCCTGTTCTGCTCTGCCAGGTTAAGATAGGAGTCCCGGTGATTCTTATTGCACCGATTTGGCAAATGCGGATTTGGTACTCAGACTTAATCAGACTCTTGATAGTACTCACCCGTGGCTCTTCTCTGTCACCTGGCTCCTTTGTCCAAAGGACCAGTTTACCACCATTATTCACAGTATCTGGCTTTAACTGCATGGGTGTAAAGCTCAGGTCTTAAGTGATAGGGGCCTATCTGATTATGTTATTCCATTATTTTGAATGCTATGAAATCCACCTCTTGCAAGGCCTGCCATTGCATTTGGGCAATATATTTCACATGGTGTGAGGCAGGGCATTTTGTATTCCATAAAAAACTCCGTAGCATCCTTTGGACAGCTCCCAGTTATTTTCACTTGTTTTTTGGAGCCCCGTTGGAGTTTCATTTGCTGTGCTGCCCATTCCTCTGCTGGACTTCTTTTTTAATCGTCCCTTATTCCTCAAAATCCTTTTTACCGTGTCCTGTAAGAAAGCAATTAAGAAAATAGATTTTTTGACTAATCCTAAAATCCTTTTCCTGGAGGACCTTAAAAGATAAAGGTCCCACCCCTTTGTCTTTGCGATCCACTCCTATTGCTACTTTCCATAAAACTGAAGCATGGTGGGAGGGTTATACCTGGCTGACCAACAGCTTTTTTTGTATGCTAGTGTCCTATAGTTCAGGACGTAGCAGTATAACCTATGTTTCTCAGAATTCTTTCTTATCCTGTGTCTTTTATTGAGCTGTAAGAAAAGGATCTTTACAGTAAGTTAAAAATCCTATTTAATGCGCAAAGTTTGGCAGCTTGGTTTTTCATTGCACTACCAAGCTATCAAAAACCTGTACCTTAGAGATGATTTCCAGATGAGTATCTTCATACATAGTTACATTGATCCATCTTGGACTACACAAATATTTTAGTAGTAAACCGATAATTCCATGTGAGATGACCCAACACACTTCCATAATCATCTTCAGGGGTTGGAGTAGCCATACGTGTACACAAAGTGTTGAAACACAGTAAGCCAGAGTATAAAAACTAAAGGTTCATTCCTCAGCTAGAGCTCACCCAAATATGTCAACTTCATGCTGCAGGAACACACATAGAGACACCCCGTAAGATAGGCTTTCCGGAACACCGTGACTGTCAATTTTAATAAAATATGCCTTCCAATTATGGCGGCTGCACAGATCGCAAGACTGTCAATGTAACAATTTATGCACCATACCTGGCTGATGCCACTGGAAACTGGAAATCACTGAATCGGACACCGCTACTCCAGTGACCTCCACTTGCTTCCAGGTCCCCTACTGAGTGGCTGGCCTGCAACATTCTGAACACAGGATTGTGCCATTTAGAGAATGTGTTTCATCCACTGAATGAATGCAAAGCGTTTCCTGATTGGAAAAGGTTAATGAGGCAGTGATGTCACACTCTCCTCCTCCAATCACTTTGCATCCGTTCAGAAAATGCTAAGTATTTCCTGAATGGCACCCATAACGAGATCCTGACCTCCTGTGTGATTTCCAGCTTCCAGGGCATCTGCAAAGTATGGTATATACAAAATTATGGTGGACCAGTTTAACTATGTAAAAAATATCCATACTTGGAATTCATCTCAAGTTGAAGTGACCAGTGATATTTACATGGCATCTTCTGAACAGTGCAGCTGTCATTTACAGGAAGTCATCCATCAGAGAAGCTTAGAATTTGCTTTTGTGCCATTAGTACATTTTATATCAATATTTTTTTATTATATTTAGGATAATCTGGTTTTAATATTGTAGACTGTGCAATATGCCAGTCCACTAGTCGATACAGTAATGTAGAATGCAGTAAGTCAGTGTACGGTGTAGGACAGTCACTCTTTGTCCTCTCTGCAATAAAAAAAGGTTTTGGTGACTATAAGCTGCTGCACTGCAGGAATTGTTCCTATATAATAACCTCCAGTACAGTATATTGGTGTAACTGCGTTTAACTAATTTTTATGCTATATAGTAGATGATACCGAGAGTCAAGAGACCAGCGCTGAATATACAGAGGTGTCATTGGATTCTCTGGACCTACGAGTAAAAGAAATCTTATCACCTCAAAAAGGTGAGGAAATAATTGGGTCTGAATGTTTTTTTCCTTTTTCTTTAAAGTGTTGATGCAAAGACAGTTATGTCTAGTTAGAACTGACACAGTCAGCCTGAAATTGTTGAAAGAGAACAAAAATCAATCTTCACTAGGTCAGCTATATGGATCGCAAGGGTTTAGGAAGCTTGATTGCAGATCATAACCTGCTTCTGTGCTGTTGATTTGTGTGTGGGCATAGGGTATGGTATGACAGTCAAGCATGTCTTCTAAAATCCTTTGTAAACAGGGACTTTGTGTGAGATTACGCCTTTATCATAACAACACGATTAGTCCCAGCATTATAATAATCATTTTATCCCTGGTGTTCCTTTAATTTGCATATGTAAACCAGAAAAAAGTTTACTTTTAGATTTATGGCAGCAACATGTCTCAAAGTTGGGACAAAAAGCTGCAAAGTAAGTGGTACTAACACGGAAGACCTAGAAAAACATTTTGAAACTGTTAAGGTCCTACCTTTTACCAGAGGTTATGCTGCTCCATGTGCTGGCATCCATCTTGGGTTTCTGCAGAGCATGGTGGGAGTCTTTTATGCCTTCAGGCCTCTGCGGTCCATCCCCCAGAGGGGTGTGGTTGATCACATATAAGCCTGTTGTCCGCACGTGCTCTTTGCATTCGTGTCTTGTGTGGTTAGTGTTGCAACAGCTCTGTTTATACTCTCGTGACTCTCCTGGAATCTGACTCGGCTTTTGACTAGACCATTCTCTGTGTTTTCCTTTGATCTGACCTCCCGTTGCTGAACCCGGCCTGTGACCTGTTATTCTTGTCTACTTTTCTGTACCGTTTGTCCTGTTGTTGTCGACCCGGCCTGCCCGACTACGCTATTGTCTGACCTGGTTCCTACCAGCTACATGCCATTGGCGGTGGCCATTACCGCAGCTGGGGTTTCTCGGGGGCCGCGCCCTGGTTCCTGGCTGCGTCAAGTCCATCCCCACCATCAGGGGCCCTGGTGAAGGGCAGCCTGGGACTTAGACTTCGCACCCTAAGGGACTCCGGTCTGTGGGTGGTGGTTGTCAGTCAGTGCGTGACCCTGCCACTAGGCCTGTCTGTCCGTTCCACAGCTCCTGCCCTGACAGAAACTAGGTTAATTGGCAAGAGGTCAGTAACGTGATTGGGTATAAAAAGAGCATCTTAGAGAGTCAGAGCGTCTCAGAAGTAAAGATGGGCAGAGGTTTACCAATCTGTAAAAAGCTGCATCTAAACATTGTAGGACAATTCCAGAATAATGTTCAACATAAAATTACAAAGATTTTAAACATATAATCTTCTGCAGTACAAAATATCACTGAAAGATTTTCAAAATCTGGAGAAATATCTGTGTGTAAGGGACATGGCAGGAATGCAGTATTGGATGCCTGTGATCTTCCGGCTCTCAGCTGGCACTGCAATAAAAACGGGCATGATTCTATGATGGAATTCACTGCGTGGGCTCAGGAATACTTTGAAAAATCACTGTCTGTGAATACAGTTTGCTATGCCATTCAAAAATGCAAGTTAAAGTTCTATCATGCAAAGAGGAAGCCATATCTGAATGTGATCCAGAAACTCTGCCGTCTACTCTGAGCCAAAGCTCATTTAAAATGGTCTGAGGCAAAGTGGAAAACTGTTCTGTGGTCAGACAGTGGGTGTCACGTCCTCTGGTCTGAAGAAGAGAGGGACCTTCTGGCTCATGAGCACTCGGTTCAAAAACCTGCATCTCTGATGGTATGGGGGGTGCATTAGTGCGTATGGATTTGGCAGTTTGCACACCTGAAAATGCACCATCAATGCTGAAAGATACACTGTGTGTACTGCAGATGTGAGGGTGTGGCGGAGAAAGGCCTGAGAGGAGCAGTGTATACAGTGACTGGCTGTCACTATATGTAGTTACCAGCTTTTTTTTTCTTCACTATAGCTCACAGAATTAGCTGTCACTTTCCCCCCAGCTAAAAGAAACAAAGTTTTCTTTCAGTTAATTTCCCTGAGTTAAAAGAAACAAAGTTTCCTTTAACTCCAGTGAAAGTGACAGCTAATTATGTGATAGTAATAAAATCATAAGTTAAAAAAATAAAATAAAAATATACATGAAAGTAGAAAAAAATACAAAAAAAAATTGGAGCCTCCCCACCCCCACATACGCAGACATTTTGGTTTCAGTTCGGTTTTCGGCCACATTATTTCTGAATTTTCTGTATCAGTTTCGGCACCAGAATTTTCATTTCGGTGGACCACTAGTACAAATTTTAACAATTGAGTTGCAGTTCAAAAATACGTATTTGATCCCCAAGCAAAACATGACTTGGTATTTGGTGGAGAAACCCTTGTTGGCAAGCACAGAGGTAAGAGGTTTCTTGTAGTTGGTTACCAGATTTGCACACATCTCAGGAGAGATTTTGGTCCACTCTTCTTTACATATCTTCTCGAAGTTTCAGCTCCCTCCATAAATTTTCTATAGGATCAAGATCTGGAGACTGACTAGGCCACTTTATGACCTTAATGTTCTTCTTGAGCCACTCCTTTGTTCCCTTGGCGGTATGTTTTGGGTCATTATCATGCTGGAAGACCCATCCACAACCCATATTTAGTGTTCTGGCTGAGGGAAGTGTCAAGGTCCTACCTTTTCCCTGAGGTTATGTTACTCCATGTGCTGGCGTCCATCTTGGATTCTGCTGTGCATGATGGGAATCCTTTTTATGCCTTCAGGTCTCTGAGGTCCACCCCCCAGAGGGGCGTGGCTGATGACATATAAGCCTGTGGCCCACACATGCACTTTGCACTTGTGTCTTGGTGTTACTATTACTCTGTTCTGACTCTCGTGACTCTCCTGGTATTCTGATTCGGCTTGTGACTTGACTATTCTTTGTATTCTCCTTTGATCTGACCCTCTGTTGCTGAACCCGGCTTGTGACCTGTGATTCTCGTCTGCTGTCCTGTACTGTTTTGTCCTGTTGTTGTTGACCCCGGCTTGTCTGACTACTCTTTTGTTTCTTCCACCAGCTACACGCCATTGGCGGCGGCCATTACCGCAGCTGAGGTGTCTCGGGCGCCGCGACCTGGTTCCTGGCTGCGTCAAGTCCATCCCCACCATCAGGGGCCCTGGTGAAGGGCAGCCTGGGACTTAGACTCCGCGCCCTGAGGGATTTCGGTCTGTGGGTGGTGGTTGTTGTCAGCCAGTGCGTTACATTGTTAGGCCTGCCTGTCCGTTCCTCGGCTCCTGCCCTGACAGGAAGAAGGTTCTCATCCAAGATTTTACAATATATTTATTGGCCCCTCAATGCAGCAAAATCAGCTTATACCTTTAGCAAGATAATGTTTCCTCCTCCGTGCTTGACTGTAGGGATGGTGTTCTTAGGGTCATAGTCAGCATTTTTCTTCCTCCAAACATGGCGAGTCGAATTAATGCCAGAGAGCTCAATTTTGGTCTCATCTGACCACAGCACTTTCTCCCAATCATTTAGATGTCCATTGGCAAACTTCATATGGGCCTGTACATGTGCCTTCTTGAGGAGGGGGACCTTGTGGGCACTGCAGGATTTCAATACATAGCGCGTATTATGTTACCAATGGTTTGTTTGGTGACTGTGCTCCCATCTGCCTTGAGATCATTCATAAGCTCCTCCCGTGTAGTTCTGGGCTGATCCCTCACTTTTCTCATGATCATCGTTACCCCATGAGGTGAAATTTTGCATAAAGCTCCAGACCTAGGGTGATAGATGTTTATTTTGTATTTCTACCATTTGTGAATAATCTCTCCAACAGTTCTCCTTCTCACCAAGGTTTTTTGTAGATGGTCTTGTAGCCCATTCCAGCCATGTGTAGGTCTACAATCTTGTCCCTCATGTCCTTTGACAGCTCTTACCCATGGTGGTGAGGTCTGAATGGAAGAAGGAGATTTTGCGGACATGTATCTTTCATACACAAAACGAGTTGTCATTAGGGGCACCTTCTTAAATTGATAGGACTAATCTGTGTACCACATGAGCACGTAGCCAGTCTGTGGGAGCCAGAATTATTGTTGGTTGGTAGGGGAGCAAATACTCATTTTACTCACTGATCTGCAATTCAGTTTTAGTATTTGTATCATGTGTTTTTTTCCAGGATTTTTGGTTGATATTCTGTCTGTCATTTAAAATACACCTATGATAAAAATATATAGACCCTTCATTTCTTTGGAAGTGCACAAACCTGCAAAATCTGCAGTGGATCAAATAATTATTTTCCCCACTGTATATCCAGGTTTTAGAGCAGCATATGCTCCCAGCCAGTGTCTTTTTCAGGAAAGGCCTTGCATATCTTAGCAGGACAATGCTAAACTGCATATTGCATCTATGCCAACAGCATGGCTTTGTAGTAGAAAAGACTGGAGGCTTAAAGCTGAACTTTACCCATAATAACTTGATAAAAAATATTCTTTAGCAGGGAACATGCTGTACATACCGCATTAATAATTACAGTACATCCAGAAAGTATTCACAGCGCTTAAGTTTTTCCACATTTTTTTATGTTAAAGCCTTATTCCAAAATGGATTAAATTCCTTTTTTTCCTCAACATTCTACAAACAATACCCCATAATGACAACGTGAAAGAAGTTCGTTTTGAAATCTTTGCAAATTATTAAAAATAAAAAATGGAAAAAAAACCACATGTACATAGTATTCACAGCCTTTGCCATGACATTCAAAATTAAGCTTTTGTCCATCCTGTTCCCATTGATCATCCTTGAGATGTTTCCACAACTTGATTGGAGTCCACCTGTGGGAAATTCAGTTGATTGGACATGATTAGGCAAGGCATAAACCTGTCTATATAAGGTCCCACAGTTAACAGTGCATGTCAGAGCACAAACCAAGCCATGAAGTCCAAGGAATTGTCTATAGACGTCCGAGACAGGATTGTATCAAGGCACAGATCTGGGGAAAGGTACAGAAAAAGGGCCTAAGCCTGTGGAGAGAGGAGAACCTTCCAGAAGACCTACCAGCTC